TTTTATATGCTATATATATGTAGTTTTAATATATTTCAAATATAAAAACGGATATTCTTAAATACCAAACGCAGAAAATTTTAAATGTCAGGTTAGTCATCTAATATGGCATCAATGACAATAGAATCCATTTCGAAGGGTATAAAAACAGAGAAAGTAAGTGGTCAATGCAGCGGGTATATTTTATGTGAATACATAAGCCCTTAGAAGTATTTTATAATAGCGTATACGTATAAAAAGTATCTAACTGTTCCTTAACCATTCGTGGTTACATTCCACGAACAACCGTGATAATTTTCTTTGGAGACAATTATTTAGAACCATCGATAGATCAAAAACCGATATACAATTGTGAAAATAAATACAATCATCCACTGAAGAAATTTTTGATAGTGCTGTAAGTACATAGGGGATTCATAGCGGGCGCAGGATTTAACAGTTCAAAGGAATCTTATGATTTAAAATTGACTACAAGATAAGAGCTTTCATTGATTAAAAAATCATATCATAATCACGATAACAAAAGTGGATTGGAGAAATATACTTGAAGAAACCACATTTAAACTCAGGGAAAACTTTATTGAATAGTTCCAAAAAATATTTGTACTTAATCATAGAAATTTTCATACGATGAGAAACAGAAAAGCATTAAATACAACTGTCACATTTATCGAAACGTTTTAAACTTTAGTTGGGTATTGATTGAAAGATTGACTACTAAACAGTTAAATGATGTTTACTCATATTTGAAAAGAATTAAAAGTAATTTCAATAAGATAAAGTTGAGTTGACAGTCAAGTTAAGAAATACGATGGTCATAGACATAAAATAATAATTATTCAAACACATTGTATGGTGCCTACTATAGAGGAGATCGTGGACGTAACATTAGATCAAAGTAAAAAAAGTAGCAAACTTGCGCAAAGTTGCGCAAATTCCCCATTCATTTACGGATAATCGCAGGGTATAAGTGGATTTATTCCTGCTATAAAAATACTCACTTCATTTTCAATTCACTGACAATGAACGCAAAAAATTTGTGCGCATGGTGATTTAAATTATAAGATAATCGTGGATCATTTTGCCCGTCTCCACTTTAATAGACACCGAAACAACTTACCTCTGCAGCTCCTCCCTTAAAGCACTCGCACCGTGAAGACTAAAATACAATACCTATCTGTACTATCTATTACACCCTATCATATAGTAGTACAGAAGTATAGAAGTATAGAAGTGATTCCAAAAACAACACCGGTATCAGCAAAAAGTCGCGGGTAATTTTAAATGTTGCTTTACCGCGTGCTTGACGTCGGAAACTATTGCAAGTATAGCTCCAGAAACTATAATACTTCAGAAGCATTAAAAATTCTGTCGACGAAATTCTACTCTGTACAAAGTCACATTCACTGCTGGATTTTATGTAGGTTCTGAAGACTCCTATCCTGTGATCCTAAAGTTTGCAGTAAAAACACTTAAAATTACGCACTTACCTTGATCTAACATCTGCTGTGAGTTGGCACTAAAATCGTCCATGCAATCCAGCGACGCAATGGGAGCGCGACATCTGTACAACAAGCAATAATATGGTTAGATCATTATCAAACTTTACAAACGTTTTATAATTTTTTTCCAATCACTTAAATTTGGCCCCCAATTTTGTGTTGCACTCCCCTGTATTAATTAAAAATTAGCGCGTTATTAGCCAATTCATTTACAATTCAATACCCCAATTTATAAAATTCGCTTTTTGTAATAATTCCAAATGTTAATTAGTCTCTGATATTAATCTTCGGCGGTTTAATGTCATCATCACAATATTTGTTACTGTGTGGTATTGGAATCAAGATGGCGGCAGCGGCGCATGCGCCTTCCATATATCTATTGTAATAGACAGAAGAGCCTCGATCGACCAAAGCTCAAAAGTTATACCACTCATAATAATCTTATAGAAAAGCTTTAAATAAGATATCCTGTTCTTTATTTAGCAATAACTCATCGAATTTAAGTAAATCTTCTTATTTTTTGTCAGGTATTTGGATTAAAATGATTTTTAAAGATTATTCCAGATGTATTTATTAACTGCGCATGGTATTAAGATGGCGGCGGCCACGCATGCGCTTTTCATAAAATCTGACCTCGATCGATTAAGGTGTGCCCGGGACATGCGCACAAATATTGGCCCCTGCAAGGCCATTGAAATCAAATCAAAATTGTAATGGAAATCAACGCTTTAAACAAAATAATATGCCCCGTCTTCAACAATACTCAAATGTTTTTAAACTAATGATCTTATTTTGTCATTATAATTAAGATTGCAATGATAATTAAAGATTCCACCAGACTATTTCTTAAGCGCGCATCAAGTAAAGATGGCGGCGCCCGCACATGCGCCTTCCATTAAATCTACCCTTGGCAGAAGAGCCTCGTTCGGATAAGGCCGCACATGAACACAATCATTAGCCCAATGATTTTATGCAGATTATGTTTACTTTCACATAATTAAGATTGCTATGATCTTTATAGATTCTACTAGAACTAATTCTTCAACGCGCATGGAATCAAGATGGCGGCTGCGGCGCATGCGCCTTCCATAAAATGTTGTAATAGGCAGAAGAGCCTCGATCGACCAAAGCTCAAAAGTTATACCACTCATAATAATCTTATAGAAAAGCTTTAAATAAGATATCCTGTTCTTTATTTAGCAATAACTCATCGAATTTAAGTAAATCTTCTTATTTTTTGTCAGGTATTAGGATTACAATGATTTTTAAAGATTAATTCAGATGTATTAATTAACTGCGCATGGTATTAAGATGGCGGCGGCCACACGCATGCGCTTTTCATTAAAATCTGACCTCGATCGATTAAGGTGGGCCCAGGACATGCGCACAAATATTGGCCCCTGCAAGGCTCTTCAAATCAAATCAAAATTGTAATGGAAATCAACGCTTTAAACAAAATAATATGCCCCGTCTTCAACAATAGTCAAATGTTTTTAAACTAATGATCTTATTTTGTCATTATAATTAAGATTGCAATGATAATTAAAGATTCCACCAGACTATTTCTTAAGCGCGCATCAAGTAAAGATGGCGGCGCCCGCACATGCGCCTTCCATTAAATCTACCCTTGGCAGAAGAGCCTCGTTCGGATAAGGCCGCACATGCGCACAAATATAAGACCCCAACGGAGGAGCCTTCATAATTTCAAATCAAAATGGTGTTGAGAACACAGACTTTAGACAAATTATATGCAGATTTTGTCATTAGCCTAAAGATTTTAGGCCGATTATTTTTATTTTCACATAATTAAGATTGCTATGATCTTTATAGATTCTACTAGAACTAATTCTTCAACGCGCATGGAATCAAGATGGCGGCTGCGGCGCATGCGCCTTCCATAAATCTACTCGTATTGTAATAGGCAGAAAAGCCTCGATTGACCAAAGCGGCACTTGCGCACAACAGATGGACCCTGCCCGCAGGTCTCTTGATTGCGCATTTAATAAAAATGGCGGCGATAGAAACGTTTTAAAGAAAATATTATTTCCTCCCTTTACCATTAAGTTATTAATTTCAAACAATCCCTTTATTGTAAAATTGTTTAAACTAGTATTTAATATAGAATGAGTATTTAATATTATGGGGATTTGATATGACATGGAAACAAGATGGCGACGACCGCGCATGCACCATCATAAGATGTAGGTGAAGCAAAATACATGCAGCTTTATACAAAATATTATGTCCTCCATACGTCAATACCTTAATCATTTTAAACTGATCATCTTATTTTGTTTTAGTTATTAGGATTGCAACGATAATAAAAGATTCTACCTAAACTATTTCTGAGATTTACATGGAGCCAAGATGGCGGCGGCTGCGCATGCGCTTCAAATAATCTAGCCTAGGCCAAGCCTCAATCGATCAAGGCGGTTGTTCAGGACATGCGCACAAACGTCAAGCCTCGCAAGGATGTGAATACGTTTTCTAAAAAAAATATTGATGTGTCTAGTGCCTTTTCTTGAAGTATGTGGAAATTATTGTCTAGCTATAAATCTAAGGCTATCTAATATAACCCGATTAAATATTGTATCTAATGTAGGCCATGTCCAATATGATGGTCCCGAATGTGATCGCTTATTGCTTCTTAATTCAATTCTAGAACGTTAGATATTTAAGAGTTAATGACATTCGATTGTAGTTACTTATTGTCATTGTTGCATAACAAAGACATGTCCAAGGATTTTCACCTAGGCTACGCCCTAAGTTGCCCATGGGAATGTCGATCGATAGACCGCAGTAGGTATCCATTGCGCAGGCTCGGGCCTGGCCGCTGGAACAAAGAGGACCGCGCGCACACTAAGAGCTGCGCAAATCAATACGGACATGCGCAACATCTTTGGCGCATTACCGCGATCGATTATCCGGTCTCGCGAAAAAAAACCCTTACACGCCTTTGTTAAGACAAATCACTGCTCAAATGAAATACACTGGCAAAAATAATCGACATGAAAAATGAGAGATCGTTACGTAAGCGAAGTAAGAACGGAAGCTTGCGAGAGAAACGAGGGGTGAGGGACGGGTATGAGGCGGAGTGTAAAGTGAGACATGGGGCGTTCGGGGGTTAGCTTACCTTTTTCACCGACGGTACCACGCCGAGCTCCATGAGGCTAGCCAAGCTGTCGGTACTATATCAAGCTGTAGTGAGGTATCAAAGCCCAATGCAAAACACCTTATACATCATCATACATACATACGTCGTCGGGACTTGACTATCTTCCAAGATACGGGGCCGTGGTTGCTACTCGCATGCGGCTGTCGCGGTGCACGATGCGGCCAAGTGCTCAGCTGAACTCGTCGCTGGGAGAAGACATAGGCACAGGACACCCGAAACTATGAACTAATACACCCAACACCGGGGCATGAAGAGCCGCAACCGCGAACCGCCCTTACGTCTTCTCCCTGGACGACCGTCCTTAATGGTCCAGTTACCGATATATGGTGGGCATTGGATTGGAGTCAACGCTGACGCTGTCCGGCATGCCGAGTGGTGTCCGCGGCGTGTGCGGCGTACACCGGCCCATCGAGGACTCGCTGCGAGACATCTGCACGCCTACGCTCTCCCTGCCGGCATCCCGTCCCTGCATCTCGTGCCGCCTCATTCCGCTCCTACGCTTAGTAACGGCATCTTATCTCTCTACGTACATCTTATCTGAAATGAAACGGTCACACGTATCCGAACGCGGTGCTCGAACCCCATAGGATAAGGAAATGGCAGGTTCAGTTTTGAAACACTCAAGGATAATAGGTAGACATAGAAAAGCATGCATGCCCTAACGCTAACATCTAGGATCGAACGATTCACACCGGGAGAAACATCTAAGCACTGAATTCTAACGCGAGAAAAACGTGGAAGATTGCGAACTGTGTGTGGCGCGGCCAAACACTCACCGAGGTAAAGGCGGGCGTCTACGTACTCAACATTGGTCCGGAGCGGAGCACTGGCGGACCCTGACTGCGAAGAGTCGAGCCGTGCACGGCACCACCTAGCCTTGCGAACAAATGATTGCGCGCGCAACCCTCGCCCACGTCCCAATCGGCCCACCCCTCGCCATTACGCCCACGCCACCACTCCCCACCACCCCCCACCCTCCTCAAACCACTCTAGCACCCAGTTCGCCCACACTATACACAACCACCCTAAAAACCTGAATGCCGCACGGCCCTCTCACCCTCCGGTGCTTGCCGAGCTCAACCCAGGTGACCTATTTGCCCTGGATTTCGCCACCATCCACCCGACCACCTTACTCACACTTGCCGCCGGTATTGATTAAATAAGTTTTTTTTTTAACACCCGAAGGTGGCACCCCACCGCCCGTTCCTCCCCAGGTATATCCCCCTATAATCGATGATGGAGCGTGGGAAGCTGCGCCCGGCAAGCACCGGAAAGGTCGCGATCTAAAGGGCACGGCACCACGTAGGATGGAAAATTTAGATTTAAAGGTTTTATTATAATTTAAACATTATGATGTTCTGGCGGCTTTAATGAGGCAGAGCCACATGACCCTTGCATGATAAGATTCATAGTTAATGCATAATTAGGCAATTACTTGTAATTTCACCCTTGGCGTGGCGTAAGATGTATGTTTCGATATTTTAATGCTTATCCATATCATTGCTGGTAAAATGCACTCTACACGCAGCTGCTTGCTGCTATACCACGGCTCGAACGCTTAGGCTCTTTACCCGCGCGAATGGTGACCCCGGTCTGGTGACGTAATACGAAATTCTTTCAAGTGATCCCCAGACCACTTGTTGCGGACATAATGCCACTTTAGAGGTCACGACAACGCATAAGCGTATATATGCGTGAATATAAATTCAAGGTCGCCCATGGGACTCTAGCGGCCCATTATACGTTGAGTACGTGAAACATTCACGTCCCCACTCACGTGTCTTTGTATATAATAGATTTTTCAAGCAAGTCGATGTTAAAGAGTTTAAAGGCATTCAATGGTGTCACGATTAGCCAGGTTTTGCGACAGCTACTTAATAATAATTAAGTATAAATATTTTTCTTTGTCATGCTTACAATGATACATATTTTCGTTACATTATATAACCCGGGGCTTTCCCGCGGAATACCTGGTTGGGATTGCTAAGTGGTTAAAAAGGCCCTAAAACAAACTATGATTATGTCCTATTGATTTAGTCTCTGTAGAGGGCCTCCGCTTACAATGCACGCGGAGACGGTTTCGCGAACCTCGAACGAACCTCGCCGCGTGAACTTTCCAGATCAATAGAAACGAAAGGGCGCAGTAGCGTAGGTACGCCCATATTTATTACCAATGATATATTCTTACTAATATTATAAACGCGAAAGTTTGTATGTACTAAATGGATTTAATGAAACTTTACAATAATATATCTCTATATATAAAAATGAATCGCTGAATGGGTTGCTAAGCAGGAAATCACAAGAACAGCTGAACCGATTTCGCTAATTCTTTTTTATAATATTCCTTCAAGTACGAGGATAGTTCTTACGGAGAGAACAAAACAAAAAAACGCCGGAAAAATACTAAAAACAGCACTTTTATATATTCCCAAACAAAAGATTCATACTTAAAAGTCAATTTGAACTTTAAATACGATATCATAAAGTTTAAGTGTTAGTGAAGGGATTTCGGGAAAACAACATACATTGCACCCGTGCGAAGCCGGGGCAGGTCGCTAGTATAATATATATATACATATATATATATATATATACATATATTATGTATATCAGTCTTTATGTCTGAATGTTACGCCTTCCGCCTATTCTACGTAGAAGTAGTCGCGGGCAGCAGCTAGTACTACATATTACTTAAAGCCAGGCAGGTTTAATAATATACATTTTTTATTGTTAGTTATTAATAATAACGTGATATTCTATTTTAAACTTCAGTAGTAGTACAGAGTTGAATTTTTAATAAGTTCTTTGTCTTTGTCTTCTTTATACATTTTATGCATACAAATTTTCGTACATAACGTAATCTGGGAGTTTCTCGCCCATTCTC